TGAAGAGGTAAAGGATATTTTCTTTTCCACTAATTAACTAATTATCTGCCGCTATGTGACATACTAAATCAAACTTATGAAAAGGGGGTAAGTTTCTAAAGAAAGTGTGGTGCTGCATGAGTGGCAGAATGAATGAGTACGCAAGATCGGTACACATTTACGGTAGAGCACATAGCGCTGCGACTGATATAAGTCATTCAAACTAATATTTTTCTTAGCAATCACCATTCGTCAGCCAAGTGTACAAAAGTACGCGCCTATTCTCTACCTTTCTGTAGAGGGTTCTTCTCAAGACTTAATTTTCCAGAATCTTCAAAGGTACTTCCAGCCCTTATTCGACACATAATGCCACCGTCGTTAACCTCGTCGATATCCTTCTGGGTAAGGTTGGCGATAAACAAAGTCCCGTTTGGAGATATTCCTCGTCCTTCGTTCCTCGAAAAGTGGATATTTGATGGTTTTACCCAAATGTATACAGTGCCAAAGCCCGCTGTGTGTTTGGGACAATGAAGTCGGAAAGGCTTTCCAAGGTCAACCGTTACATTCTTGCTGCTGCTATCGATGAATTCACCATGAACTGACAAAGATTGAAAGGAGTGAAATATTTTAACCCTCTAAATGCTAAGAGAGACTAGCATCAAATTTCTCCACAGAATATCACCCCTGAATCACACATTAAGGTCATGAGAATAAAGGAAATGATCACCAATGAAAGAAAATTTTGATTGGTAAACAAATTCTCCTTGTCAGCACCTTAGAAAGTATATAAAGAGCAGTATGGAGAATATTCATACTGATTTTGGGGTGTAAAGGGTTAATGACAAGTTAAATTCACTGAAATGAAGCGAATTTTAATCGAAAGTCGAACTGAAGTAATCTGGCAATGCATTGGTTTTGCTCAGCGCTCCACCTTACTCTGTGATTGGACTAGAAACTTCGCACCAGGCTCCAAACCAGTAGAGTGCATCTTTAAAGCTCTCTGTCGAAGAATATGAATTATGATGAAGTACGAGGGCTTCTCTTTGCTTCTCTTGATCATCATCAGATCAATAAAGATCAAAGAATAGTGCACGCATTGCAATAGTTAAAAATTCAAGGAAATATCAACAAAATATCAGTAAAAGTAGAATAAGCTCGAATTTTTTCAAAGTTTTACACCTTAACATCAGTATGTATATGCTCCAGACTGTTCTCCATTTGCATTTTGACGAAAAGGAGAATATGTTTAACGATCAAGAGCTTCTTAAGTCGGTGATGTCTTTACCTTATTGTCTTTACTTTAATGTTTGATTCAAGAATGAAATTGGATGGAAAAATCATGTGCGTTTTCACCCCTAGGGGTCAGAGGGTGAATCTCGCCTGACTTTGCTCGACTGATTTCAAGGATGACAAGATGTTGACGCAGTTAATAATAATAAGATAATAATAAGCGATAAGCGAGAGAAAAGGTGGAATTTTCTCTCTGCTACTAGAAAGCGAATGTAAAATAAAACTGCGCTGAGATCCAAACCTGCTTCTTGTAATTCTCCAGTTCTTTTTTGGCTTTGATGGCGACAGTTGTAAAAAACTGAAAAAACTGTTCTAGATTATGAAGTTTTAGATATCTTGTGACGTCATCTTTGTTCGGGTATAAGAAATCCAGTTGTTCATCGCGGGTTTTGCAGTATGATATGCACCAAGAGAACATACAGTTCATATTCCCTTGGTGACACATATCACTAAACTGAATTTCGCCTATAAAAAGAGTTTTAATGTTCAGAACACTTGAAACAGAGCTATCATCACTTCTGCTGATGTATAGTCTCGTGCTGAAAACAACAATTTTTCCCTCTCGTCTGAGCCTATCTCACTTAGTGTAAGGTTCCCTTTTGACAAAGTGCTTCGAAAAAAAAGAAAAAAAAAAAGCACGAGGTAGCAGCATTTTCGAAATATTCAAGAATCAAGATACTTCAGTAGGGTAATTTGTAAACACTACGCTTGAGGGTGGCCTAAGGAGCACAACCCTGGGATGGATAGAACGGTAATGAACCTCCACCACTGCACGTGACTGCGAACTTTTCCCGTTTCATTTAAAAGAAACATATAAAGGGCTGCTATGCTGGCTAAGAGGATAGAAATAGGAGTAGCCAGGTGTTAAGCTGTTTGTAACATGATAGCCAAACTGATTTGTTAAAAAAAAACCAACAATGTTCTTAATCTGTTTTCATTTGTTCATCTTTTAAAAAGATTTACCTGTAATAAAGACTGTAACTTTCCTGCTGAATACTTCAATTTTAGTGTCCTTATCCTTAACAATACACTGATAAGTCCCGCTGTGTTGGGAAGATAACTTTTTGCCAATCAAAGTGCCATCTTTATTGAGAAAATAATGCAGTGATCCCCTGAATGATGTGAGCTCTGTATCATTATGTTTCCACGTCCAAGAAAGATTTGTCCCTGCGGCTCCACAAGGCAGTTCAAAACTTTCAGATTTAACATCATCTGGGTTAACTAAATCCTTTTGTGTGAAATTCGTGATCTCAGGTGGACGCCGGTTTACGACTGAAAGAGAAGTAAAAGTACGCTTATTAAGTACTCTCCACAGACAGTTCGGCTTAACGACTGAAAACGAAAATGTAACTAAGTATATCCTATCAGACGTTTTGCCTACGATTAGGGTTAGGGTTAGGCACAACTCGTAAAAATACGGCACAACTCGTTAAAATACTCAGCGATACTACACACCAAAACGTCTGATAAGTTATGTAATATCCAACTGCTTATTTTTCTGCTAAGTCTTTCTGTTCATTTCTCATAAGGCGAGAAAAGCAAAGCGGATAGAGGAGCGTAGCGCGCGCAGCCAACAGGTTAAACAGGTTTTTTCACAGTAAAAAATAACCAACTGTCCAAATAACCGTGCAATATCGCTGTATATTTGTACTCTATTCGTGCTTTACTTGTACTCTACTTTGTGCAGTTGGATAATAAGAAAGCATATAGAAAATTACCGGTGAAAATTTGCAAGAATGATAAAATAATTTCTTATACAATTTGTATTGGAGTGAATGAGTGCAAGTAGATTCTTTAGTTTTTCTTAAACGATTTTCCACTTTCCACATTATTTGAGCCCCAAACAATGAGGCTATGCTGAAATGTTTGCATGTAATTCATTTTAAATGTAATGGCTTACAGAATAATAGACGTTAACATCGATTGGGTTATATGAGGACTTGGTAAAACCAGTTTTTGTGATCAGTGGGGAAAGTCATACCTTGGGTCATACAGATGTTAGTGGGTACTGATGAGTAATTTCGCACTGTTACTTCTCCAGTGATCAAAACTATAGCAAAATTCTCCAGCATACCTTCCCCTCGGTTATTTTTTCTAATATCCTGAATTCATTTGAAATATTAACATTTACCTGTTTTTCCCATAACAAAGCTGAGCGTTAAAGCCAAGAAATAGATTCTCTCCATTGCCTCTGTTAAGTAAAAAAAAATTGCAAACATAAAGCTATTTATCTTCAAGTTGTTCACAAGGAAAATTTAACCATTACTGCCGCATACCAAACACCTTTCAAGCTAGTTTTTTTAAAGCCTTTGATCTTTACGAGTGACAGTCTAATTTCTCTTACCACATCGCCTCTGTATCAAACATTAAGGGAAGCGTGCTCCGTTTCTAACAAAAAATGAAGCGTTTTTTGTTTGGTACGTACTCGTTTCTTACTCGTGGACATTTCGTATGCTTGAGAAACTTTTTCTTGGTTTCTAACAAAGCCATGAAGACTTTGACTACACAGAAATCGATCATATGGTCAGAAAGGCCATATGATCGACCTTAATTGTCGCACTGCAGGGCTTGTTGAAGTGGTCTAACTTCATCATCACAATTACTTATTATTGTTACTGTTACACACCCAATGCAAGGATGAATGCTCATTTTGATCAGTTCGTATTCGTATTGTAGCTACCTTTACCCTCTTCATATATACTTTGATCGGATCAAAATATACATGCGACCGCCAGAGGAAACAGAGCACAACTATATAATATTTGCCTATTCTGATCCTTCTAATGCTATCAGACTACTACTGTGAAAAAAGTCACAAGCATAGCAATAGACTGTTATTTAAAAATACCACACTTACCTTACTCAAGGCAACAAGTTAACTTTATTTGTATGTTACTCGCTTCACCTTTTATCGACTTGTCGGACACGACAATCGACATTCGTTTACCAGGTGTTTTCATCTGTTATTGTTAAGAAAGTCACAAATAGACACAACAGAACTTTACTTGTATGTTACGCTGCATCCGTTTATTTGTTGTTATAGAAACGAAGAACGCTTCCCTTTGTTGTTAGAAACGAAAAACGCTTCTAGAATCGTTACTCAAGCATATTTCAATTTCGAACATACGATCGATTTCTGTGTAGTCGAAGTCTTCATGGTATTGTTAGAAACCAAGAAAAAGTTTCTCAAGCTTACGAAACGTCCGTGAGTAAGAAACGATTACATACCGAACGAACAACGTTTCATTTTTTTGTCTGAAACGGAGAACGCTTCCCTTTGTTGCTAGAAATGAACAACGCTTTTAGAATCGTTACTCAAACATATTTCAATTCCGAGCATACGATCGATATCTGTATAGTCGAAGTCTTCATGGTATTGTTAGAAACCAAGAAAAAGTTTCTCAAGCTTACGAAACGTCCGTGAGTAAGAAACGATTACATACCAAACGAACAACGCTTCAGTTTTTTGTTGGAAACGAAAAACGTTTCCCTTTGTTGTTAGGTACGAATAACGCTTTAAGAATCTTCATGGTGTTGTCGGAAACAAAGAGCGCTTTAGTGATAAAAAATTTCTCAACGCTATAAACTGCTTATTTACTGTCTGAAATTCTGATCCTTTTAGTATTTGTTTCTTCGGGTGACTTGATATTTTTTCGGGCGACACTAGAATTTCCTGTTTTGCTCAGCGAAGAAAAAATGGAAACTTCCACCCGATTTCTGTCGGGGAAAATTGGAGGTTGAAAGAGGATACATTACGAAAGAGAAACCTGGAAAAGTCGAAGATACATTTGTGTTTCGAATTAACGAGACTGCATACAAAAATGTTCAGGAAAACAAGAAGATTGTAATGACTGGAGTAATATAACATTTTCAGACCACGACTCTCGACATCATGAACGCATCATTTGTCTCATTTTTTTTCCTTTTGGTTGCATGAATTTATTCGATGTGTACTACAGTAAACTGTAAATTCATGTTACACACCGCTTATTTTCCCTGCGCGAAACTGAACGCTCTCACCTAAATGACGTTACCAAGAACACAAGAGATGAAGCGACGAACTAAGATGCAAAGAAGGAAAAAAGCAACTGAAACCAAAAGGAAAAAAAAAAAGAAACAGATGATGCGTTTATGACGTCGAGAGTCGTGGTCTGAAAATTTAAAAATAAACCCGGTTGTTTCCTTCAGAAAAGCTGCTTAAACCGATGTTTGTCGACTTTAAATTTAGCGCAATTAAAATACAAGTTAGTGACTACTTGACAGCTAGGGAAAATTCAGTTTTCCTGTTCACCTCAGTTTCTGGTTTTCTTTCAATTCAAATCGGTTTAACTAAACTCGTATTGCTGGTGTTTTGCCCAGCTCAGCGAATATTGCCGGGTATCGGAACTTGTTATCAGTTAAAAAGATAAGTCCTGTTGTATTTGCCTCAGCATTGTGGTATCAAAATGTATTTTTTCGTTTTGGCAACTGCGCTTTATTACTATATCAAGGAAATATCTTTTGACTATATCTAGTGGGCTCAAGCCTTTCTTAAATTATGGTGACGAGTTCTTGGACAAGACATTTTTAAATGTGACATTTTGAAAATATAAATCTTACTGTGCCTATCTCCAGCTAAGGTTATGAATAAGTATTATTACCAATTACTCTGGTTTTATGTGTGAGCAACAGCTCTCCGTTTAGGAAGAAAAGAAGTACGCTTTGAAAATTGCTATCAAATATGTTAAACCGTGTTTACCTATAAGTAGTTAGTATGCAGATTCAGTTTATGCAGATGATTAATCTTATTGGACTGAGAAGTAATTTACAACGGGTCGTTCAGTGTGTGTTCTTTTTCGAATAAGTCGAGGGTTGTGGGTGGTAGTTAACCGAAGCGTTGTGGTAAAATCTTTAAATCAAGTGAATAAACCGTGGGTTTATTCACTTGAAGAAAGCGTGGTACAGCTGTTTCACGTTTTCAACAACATCCTTTCATCTGAGTAACTTTACAATAGCCCAAAATTTAAGTCCACGAAATATACTGTACTGCTCTAGTAGTCGTCTCGTACTCAAAGAAAGTAGGGGCAACTGGCTCCTAATTAGCAAACACAAAGCTAATGAAATTCGTCTCCTACCTTTTATAAAGCGTTTTGCCCTCAGGAGGAGTTCTAAAATTTGTCTTTTATTGGACCTGCGCAATGTGTGACCAGGTGTTACTGAGGATAGACTACTAGGTAACTGTTAGGTAACTGTTAATGTTCGTATAGATTGATGTTGCATAAGTGTTATATAAATAGCCCTAACATGGGATGTCGATGTCCCTGTTAGCGGAACTCGAAACCTATTTATAATTGAGCAACGAGTTGTGTTACTCCACCTAATGCTGAACAGAATGACGTCAGAGTTCCGTTTGGGTTTCTTGGAAGGTCTAACTTAAACTTCCTTTAATGGTGGTTATTTTTTCAATCTTGGATATCCATGAATGCCCTGATTTCATTCTCTTACGCAAACATTCCTTCGTTGTCTTTGTAGCTCGTTGAACCGCCAACTGATAGTCTTTTATGTTTTTGTTAGCGTTGTAGGGAAGACTGTGGGCTTGTTAAAACGTACCAACTTGTTTCAGTTAATCGGCTATCATAAAAAGGTACTTTCGAGTATTCACAGTGTAAGGACAGCACGTAATCTCAGAGTTCGTGGTTTAGTAAAAGAAAATCTGAAGATCATGTCAAACTACACGACGTAACTTCCATCCATTAAACGTTTTTTTTTTAACCTTTAAATTGTTTCAAAACCTTAGCCAATAACATTAATAGATCAATTTCATTACCTTCTTTTTCTGAAAGATCTTCAACCTTATTCCCTTGTGAAACTGGGAAGAAAATGGCGGATAATAAAACACGAAATGTTTTCGTTCCGTTTGGACGAGCTTAGCGGAGGTCATCATCGCGGTTGAGTGATTATATTGACGACTGCCGCTAATTAGTGACCACACTTCTGACACGATCGACTTATCCCTATATACTGACGTAACATACTTTCATTAGTAAGGTGGCTGTTACGAAAGTTACAAAAGTTGTTGAACGCCGAGAGGATGAGAAATAAAATTTTAGGAATAAACTTCTGTTTGAGCGCTTACCAGAACACGTTTCAACTTAAGAGGCTAATAAAGAGAATACTTAGACATGAAGTTTACACCTCAAAAGTAATCAGAGTTTAGCCAATTTACTCACCGTTTGCACAATCGAATGGGATATTTTCTTGTGGCTTGGAAGTAGTATGTTATCTTTGTTCTTGAAAAGGCACTTTTTCTACTCAGCTTTGCTGTATTTAGATAACGCCGTGATGAGTATTACGCTCACTGTTTTTAGCCAAGAGTATGAACACACGTGATTTATGAAATTAGTAACAAAAGAAACTTTGAAAGTGCTTTTTGCTGAGAGGTGAATGTTAAATGCAAGATAGCGGTCTTGCTAAGAATATGTTTAGGTTCTGATGTGTATTTTCAGTTCTGCTTTTATTTTCATTCCCAGTGGCTTTTCTTCTCATTTTCCCCACAGTTCTCTTTTTCAGAAGTCAAATCAATGAACCGTGGATACGCAAAGAAATGAAATTAAATTCAACTTAAGCTCTACAGAAATTTTCGGGAACTTTGTACTTTTCGAAATATCAAGGATGCGCTTAATTGCGACCGGTGTTCTTTGAAGTATCTGAGAGTTTTTTTCTATTGTGTTTTTTAGATGTTCTTCCATTGATACTATGATAGTAATGTAACAATTTTAAATTCGAGTATAAAAAGTTGCCGCAGAATTAATCTCTTCTATGCGGAATTGTTTATCCAGCTTAAACCGTGCAATCACAACATAGTAAACAGTTTTGGATTCGGAACGCATTTATAATTAAGATTAGAAACGAAGGAGGAATAAAACAATAATTGAAAATTCATCCACTCAATGAAAAACTGGAATTTGATTTTTATGTTAGTGTGCAACTGATATAAATTGCTGAAATACTAGTAAAGCAGCTGACTTTAGGACATTTAATTAAACATTTGTTAAAAGAGTTGAACTATACTTGTAATGCGCATTTAATCGAGAGACAAAACGTCTTTATACAAGAGAAATAACTCTGTTGAAACAATTCCAATTGGATGGAATTTGGATTTTCAACCTTAACATATTGCCACAGATCAAGTAATTTTGCAAATTATGAATGAAGGGAGTGGGTTCCTCAGGAACCTGTGATGCTGCGTCGTTGCATTGGGGGCGGAATTACAAAATTATCGATCGACTAGGTTGAAATGTTAATTGGCCACAATAGACAGTTACTAAAGCTAACCTATCGAGCGTTGAGACTTCGTCAGAGCGAATAACGAAGGGCTAACGCTCGAAACTTCATCTCTAGAAGCTGCACGATGGGCAGTTTACATAACCAACTCAGTTGTTAAACCCAAATTATCGTGCAATATGTGATTTATTTGCTTTTACGTTACTATGAATATATATGTTTAGGAGTTCTAATATTATCTTTTTAACAAGTCATTCTGTTTTTGACGACATCTTTCAGCTGTTGAAACGAAAAACGATCTGTATATCACTCGATAATAATTTTTCATTTCCATAACAATCAAACCTCATTGGATGTACTGTGTGATATTGAAGTCTTTTCGGTTCTTATTTACTTAGCTGCGGTGATAGCAGCTACAGGCAAAATTACGTGGATGCGTCTTTTAGTTATGTTTCGAATTTAGACTCAGACAGTTCAAGTTTTTATCCGGCAAAATGTTACCCATTGCTCTGTTATGCGTATTAGCCATTTTCTTCCCAGTTTCACAAGGGAATAAGGTTGAAGATCTTTCAGAAAAAGAAGGTAATGAAATTGATCTCTTAATGTTATTGGCTAACGTTTTGAAACAATTTAAAGGTAAATCAGAAATTATCTGTTCTTTAGCCAAATTTTTCAAATTGTGATCTATACCTCAGCAAATCTTAGTAGTAAAATATTTTTATCCTATTTTCATTTTCCTGTTCTAAACTTTATTTCAAAATGGAGACAATTAAGTATGACACAAAGATTTCAATTCCTGGTGATGCAGAATACATGATTGGCTTGATAAATGTATGTTTTGTCTTTGCCGAGCAAATCGTCAGCGATAATTTGGTTTTATTGAAGTTCTTCGCTATAACGAAGGGCTAATGCTCCAAACGTCATCAGCTTTCGAAACTCTATGGTGGACAATTTACTTTCTCAACTCGGTTGGTTAAGTCAAATTATCTTGTTATACTCCCCAACGACGCAGCTCCACAGTTTTTTTAAAAGACTTACCCCACTTAAATCATCAGGGACTCTTAGCGAACTCGTCAAACTTGGCGCTTGAAGTCGCACTAGCGTCAGAAAAGGTGGCAATCTAGTCTAATCTGGTGTAAAATGTTAAGAGTTCATGACGGTTGGCTGGCGTTAGGTAGTGCTCCTTTTTCACTTGATTCAAGTTGTTCAACGGCTTTTTACAGTATTGGGAATCCTTCAGTTGTTGCAGAATAGGAATTGGGTGCCATCTTTTTTACGCTAGCAGGACCTTAAACGCTATGTTTGACGAGGAATCCTATACATCAGGCTAGTCTAATATTATACCTTGTAAACGTTTTAAACATTTTCGTCTGATTTTGTGACATAGCCATTTTTTTTTTACAAAAAATTTGAAAAAACTATGTTGAAGTAAATAGTACTGATCAAAATATGACATAAATACTCATTGGTTTAACATAATGTGAACTAAATTATCTGATACCAAGACATTCTCTAGACAAGCAATTCATTAATCGTAATACAAAAATAAACTTCATAATCAGTAGAGTTCTATTTTTGAATGCCGAAATTAATTTTCAAGATGCAGCAGGTTTATTGATAAATCTTTACATTTTTAATTTAAAAAACAAACAAAAAAGAGTGTAAACATGAAGAGGTGGTTTTATAGGTGGCTTGCATGGTCACGTGTGGTTAGGCATATCAAGTTTTTTAATTTTTTATGGATGTTCCATTTTCATTTTGAATGTCATTTAGATGTCTCTAAAGGTGACTTGATGCTATTAAAGGAATTCAAATTGAGAGAAAAAAGAGGAGGTGGGATTATTTTTGTTAGTTTTCGAATGGTATGTCAAACCCTGTCAGTTAAAAAAGAGTTCACGTTCCTGTACGAGTTTTCATGCATCCAAAGGAAGATTCCAGAACTGCGTAGTTTTTTGCGTACATGAAACGAGCGTAGAGAAAGCGTGCGTAAAGAAAGCGTACGTTAAAAGGAAAATCAATTTACGCACGAAAAATGCGGGCTCATGCGTCAAAGTGGAAGGCTGTTCACCTTTCTCTGCACTTGCGCGATTGCGGCATGCACATGAAAACCTTGAAAAAACGTGCAAGTGGAAATATAACAACAATTTCTTACCTATTTACGTGGGTAGACAAAAACTTGACAGTGGAAATCCAGCTTAAGTCTGTCTGCGCAAGCGTGAACGAGAAACCGTGAACGAGAAACACGTGCGCACATCGTATACGTGTGGCATGCCTGTACATTCAGTTTAAGTTTTTGGCAGCAGAAGTTAAAAAACATATGTATAAATATATATATCTTTACTGTGCCCATTACATAACGTTTAACAGTGTTTCTCTAATGTTAGTCATTATCATTGAATTCATTTTTAGTTTGTAAGGACGAAAGTGCATACTGTGATTCATATAAGAGTTACTGTAACGACCCGTTGTACAAAGATTATCTGAAGGAAAACTGCAAAAAGACCTGTAACTTGTGTGGTAAGATTTTAATGTCCTGCCGAAGGGGGGAGGGGAGGGTAAAGTTTAAACAAACGGTATATTTTCTTCTTTACTTGTAGATAGAACCTTTGGATCAATGCCAGTATCTAAGCAACTGCCCACATACCCCTCCCCTAACCCAAAAACAGTCAACAGATAACAAGTTAGGGTTAATGTTGTTCAGATACTGACATAATCGAATCTTATGGAAAACAAATTAGTAAATGCCTGAAACCAATTTGACTGCCAAGAGATAAAAATTTCAAGCAGTAGCAAGTTTCCGATAATTCCTTTCAACAGATTTATCCCCTCAGGATATCTCTTATCAACAATGAGAAAACTTTAACGGTTTTTGTTTTCCATATTTCATTTCTTCGCTTACAAAAAAGATTCATCGATAGCCCATGTATGCGGTTTTAACTCCTAAAATAACAGATATAACCTCTTGAGCGAGATTCTGAGAATCCTTGTCTTTAAAACAATTCGTTGATGGTCATACTTCAACATTTACATTTATTCTCGACTTCTGGAAGGTTCATGTCTAACTTTTGTACGCGTTGCTGGCCTACTTTTTAGTTAGAAAAATGGACTACAAAGTTAGTCGACAAAACTGACGTCTGAGTAAGGTGGGGTTTGGGTGAATATGAAAAAAAGTAAGAAAGAACGATAAAACAACGATTCCCAAACGTACCTTGAAAACCTAAATCACATCCAAATCATCCTAGAAATCAATGGTATATTATTACTTACGATCAGGCTTGTTGAAGGAACTAAGAGAATTTCAATCCATTTTAGGAAAAGAATGCGCTGACTTGATGGACTGCGAAGTATACAAAAACTATTGCGATCATAAAGACTACAGTAAATCATTGAAATATTATTGTAGAGCAAGTTGCGGTTTTTGTAAAGGTAACTACCTCATACTAATTTATTAATTAAACCCTTATGTCTTTGGATTTATCCGTATCTTCTACACTTTTATCATTTGTTTTTCCTTTTGCTCTCATCCTTCGGTTTTTTCCTTTTTATAAAACTATTTACTTATAGTTTGTGCGTCCCTCTGCCCAGCTTTTGCTACGTTCCTTTAGTTCTTCTCTGCTTCATTCTGTCATTCCCTCTTTCCCTTGTTTCGTGGTTCCTCTACTTCATTGTTCTTAAATCACATCATACCCTCCTGTCTTTTTCTTCGTCTTTTGTTTCTCACTGTCGATAATACTTCAAAAACCGTTTCCCTCCCATTTTTTAGCTTATCGCTCGACGCGGCTGAACGTCTCGTTTAGAGCTAGCAACTGATCCTTTCTATAAAATCGCTCTTTTTTAGTTCCAACACCCGCCCCGCCAGCAACAACTCGTCCACGGACGGACCAACCAATTGATCAAGGTGAGCTGGAGCCTGGTACAGTCTTTCTTATAAAAAAGCATCCGTCACGTATTCAGTTGTTTTTCCATGGTTTACTTGAAGTCCAAATCTCACTAAATGAATTGATTATCGGGTAACGAATCAGCTCTCTCGTTTGTATTTACTGATCTATTTTTATTTATCATTTATTTGTTTATTTTGACTTTTCTTCCTCTCAAAACTTTTAACATCTTGATCTATTCTTCCCATGCTTATCAAATTAACGCGCAAGCACAGAACTTTCATTTGTCAGGATGCAGCTGAAAAAGATCATGGTTTTAAAGTCATGGTCAATAACCGTAGTTGTTCGTATCTTCCCTATCTGTCAGGGAATAACTGAATGATAATCCCACACCTTTTTACACTCAGGGAATGTCGAGTGCGGCACAAGGAACTTAGGAAACAGAATAGTTGGGGGCACTAATGCTAAACCAGGGGCTTGGCCGTGGCAAGTAACAATGGACTATAAGGGACATGCTGAGAAACCCCACTGGTGCGGAGGCTCAATTGTGTCGCCTCAGTGGGTTGTGTCAGCGGCTCACTGTTTCGCGTATGGCGATGATCCTAATCAGTATACTATTGTAGCAGGTATTTTGCAGAACTCGTTTCAGTTCAGACCTGTTCTGTAGGAGTTGCAGTTCAGGCTGTCACAGAATGGTCTGAGGGCTAGCAGAGAGTTAAAAAGCAGACAGTCAATTTCGCGTTAAAAACGACATCTCATATATAGCCAGTGTGTTTGAAATCAATGCATTATCAAAAGAACTCTATGACATTCTAAAATCCTGCGACTACTCCGTGTTACGCAGAGGGATTTTTTCAAAGGCTACCAAGATTTGATACAGAAGTACTCTCCTTGCCTCTAAAATAGTATAACACTCAAAAGATTGAATTCTTTTATCCTCAGTGGCTTCTTACCCTTAAGGTTTTAACTGAACCAGTTACAAATAGTGTTTACAGAAAGTTGTGAGCCAACATTTCGCCGAAAGTCATACTCTATAGCAAGCTTGCGCAAAAACAAGCTAACATTGGAGTTGTGACAGTGTCACGGAAATTATTCGACCTATCTCGAGTTTGCCAAGGGTCACTCGTTTCGTTAAACTTGCAGGGTTAAAACCGAGGCTTTGAGGTTCGAACATTTCACGAAAAATTATCGACATTTTTCCAACTTTGCTGAGAGTCGCTAACTCGTCAAGCTTACAGAGTAACATCCATCGATTCGGAGTACAAAGATTTCGCGAAAACTTCTCGACTGTTTCCGTTGTTTCTGAACAGGGGATCATGATCTGAACGGGAAAGAGGGATATGAGCAAAACATTCCAATCGAAAAAATCATCAAGCATCCGAGCTACGCTCCGCATCAAAACGAGGACTACGACTTGGCTCTTATTAAGCTCCAGTCTCCACTCACTTACAATAGACGCGTGAGGCCTGTGTGCTTGCCTAAGTTTGACTTTGGCGTTGGAACCCAATGTTTCGTCACAGGCTGGGGCCATACGAAAGAAGGAGGGGACATCCCGCAGGTAAGTGGAACTTGATATGAAGAGAAATTCTCATAATGTATTTTAAAGATTTCTTCAGGGACGCGATTGAGAATTGAGTTTTTTTATCATGAAGATCATATCATCCTCATCTAGTAGATGATATAAACTAATGGGGCTTTTTTCTTTCTAGGAGAGGGTGATGAATATTCCACTTGCGTAGTATTAGGCCATCTACGAAAAGTTGTTGCAGAAAAAATAGCCAAATTTGTCTGTTTTGTTTTACATTTTTAAGTAATAAGCTTATTTCCAAATATTTAGTTTACTACCCAGCTTATAAGTAACTACTTCAAATACGAAATTTTTTAATTCACCTTCCCTTCCCCCTTTGTTCAGTGTCCTTAAGCAAGACTACTCAATCTCCCCCCCCCCTCCTTCCCCTCCCCAAGAATAGAAATGGGTAGCGATAAAATGTTAAAGAGGCTTGAAGAGGTAATTGAACTTTATGTCGTGCAAATTTGTTTTAAAATCGTACTTGTGATTTCAAATTAAATTCGCGCTGCGGTTTCCTTCGATTTTGAAACATTTGTATGATTTAAGACTTACCTGCCCTCCACTCAGTTCAGTTACCTTTATCTATACCCCCCTGCTTCCCCCTTACTAATGAGGCCGGCCAAATGCCCCTCTATAGCATCTAGTGTATTGGTAAGGTATGACATATTTGGCTGTTTGGTACAACAGATTCTACAACAAGCTAA